CGCTGAGTAAGCGCCACGTTAGTAGAGACAACCAACTTATGAGGCATATTTTAGTAAATATTTTAAAAATTCACATTATTAAAAAAAATCCCCATGTAAATGGTTAGGCCCGTTTTAAAGTTTCTTTTCTAATTTTCAATTTTTGAGAAGTATTAGTATTTAATAACTATTCTTATTTCTTATTTTCTAAAAAAAAATATTTTCAAAATGGTATACAAATTTTAGGAACAAATTTTTTATTTATGGTTCTTCTTTTTATATTTTTTCAAAACGTGGATACAAATTATTATATTCATTTCTAACTTATAAAATGCATTAACATAAAATTGTTTAGTAATTTCAGAGAACAAAGAAACAAAATATATGATTATCAAATATATTCTAGTTTCTTTTTCAATAAAAAAGAAAAAACAATAAATACGGAATCGAAAAGTAGAAAACAGAAAACAGCGGGAAGAAACATTTCCAAAGAGGCTCTTACTAGGGCAAAAAAAGTTCTGTTAAAATTATTTATGTAATGTTTTTGTAACTATCTCTTAAAATGTTTAAAATTTGTAAAAATAATTTAAATGAAATCATAAGTATGTGGCAGACATCCATATTTAGCCAATATTGTCAAATGGAGATGATAAACTTCGTCTAAAGAGTTTAATGTGAGATTTACTAGATTTCAAAACAAATCTCTCTCTTACCTATTTAAGGGAACTGTAATTCTATTTCCAATTTCCAAAATTAAATCAGGAGAAATTCAACTTCATTCCAACCCTGTCTTAAATGATCGTTAAATTGTTTATTAAAAAAAACGTCTTAATAAATAGAGGTTCAAATGATCTTGGTTCTTGTTGAAACTATGAGTAGATGAATGGTCCTTAGACTAAGGCCGAGCTCTGTTCATCAGGATTATGTTAAATTAAATTTTCTTTTAATTCTCCCCAGAAGCTATTACATCTCTTCACTTCATGATAGTGGAAGCAAAGAGTTGAAACATCGCAAATCACATCACCATTAGAAAATTAGCTCACTCTAAATGCAGTCTATTTTAATGAAACAAAACTAGAGGAGAAACAGAACCTTTTGTTCTTCCCAAGTATCATTCACAAGCAGACAGCTCTGATCACATATGAGACTGATTCATATCTCAAATCCTGGAAGATTAAGCTTCAAAATGTTCCTCGTCAAAGCCTCTCTCTCATTTCCTAATCTTCCTTCTTATTAGCTTGCGAGGGGTCATCTGCTTCCCCAGCAGACTGGTTTATACTAGCTTTCGCCTCAGCAAGAAATGCAGGATCTGGTTCGTGTTTACTAGCGGGTTCTTTCATTGCCATTATAATATAAATGGCGATGACAACGTTGACTGATATGACAGCAAGGAATCCACTCAATAGTGTAAGAGAATGTGGATTCAATTGTGTTGAACCTGTACGCAATAGAATTTCCTTAAATATGTGATCACACGCAGGAAAACGAAAAGAAGAGGAGAAGGGAAGTCAATTTCATGCCGTACAACGAAAAGTGCAGAGAAGAAAACAATAAGAACGAACACAAATACAATATCCATGCCAAGTTGCCAACAAACACGAAGTAGTATCCTTGTTCAAAACTCAAGAGAAAGAACGTTACCATAAAAAGACCTAATCAGAGGTACAGTTAGAATGATTTGTTAAGTTGAATAGTCAGAGGTAGAGTTATAGTGATTTTTTAATGACCAAGGGTTAGGAAGGAGGCTAACTACCATAGAGAGACCTTTATATTAAGCTGGTTCGAGGTTTCCAGATTCCTCAGAAATATTTTAACATTTCACATAAAAACTAATAAATTTATAGACAGGAAGAATGAGGGATTTTGAGTCTGAAATTAAAGTTCCCATAAGACGTATCATCAATAAATAATTGAGTTATATAACCAGAAACCATGAGGATGTAAAGATGGCAATTGGCATACCAAACCATACCCTCTATAACCAGAAACTAAATGAGGGGATCAAAGTTGTGGAGGATTCCGGAGAAATGTAAGAACTAAAGCAACTACCATAATTAGAATGTACCATGGAGCTTCTCACACAAGATGTAGCTTATATCTTAGTAGCATTATTGAAACTCATAGGACTATGGTGACAATATAATTGAATAAAACTCTGTCAAAGAATAAGATGGAAGAGGGCTCAAGTGCGGCAAGTGCTATTGAGGAATCGGTTTGGAAAGGGGGAGATAGAATATGAATAAGGAACACTATTGAGCAAAAGAGTTTGGGAAAACGTGGAGGCTGCAGAATGCTTAGAAACGTGTAGTAACAAGTTAGGGCGGAAGAAGACATGGAGGTAGAGTAATTTTGGGCATGCTCATATGGAGTTATGTTGTTCTTGCCATTTTGTATCTTTCCTAAGATGTAGAGGTTGTTCTGATCATTTTGCATCTTTCCCACAAAATTGATGCTTATAAGAAAGGTAAGAAATAGAACAGTTAATTACTCTTGTTACAAGAAAGACCAACAACAGAAAACAAGAATCTTGAGAATACATGATTAAACACAAATCTTCACGACCAACCGTACATAATAAAAGGACAGACTGATTCCAGTATTTAGGTGAATAAATCTTACCAGGAATCAAATTATGGTTAAAACCATATAACAACGCGATGGGGGTTATCCACATAAACAGTGATGCAGTGAAGAACTTCATTATGACGCTTGCCATTCGTACCTTCAATAGTAAACAATGTCTGGAAAGAGGGAAGGTTGTTAGATATATAATTCTTAATTAAAATACTGAACAAGAACAAGAATTTCAGAGACTTCAAACAAAAAATGAACATCAAATTTAAATACCAAACAAAAGGTCACCTAACTGAACCTTGAATGATGTCTCACAATTGGACTTGCATTGCCATGGAGGATACGAAATGGATTCCAGAAGACTTAAGATCAGGGCACAGGACACGTCTGGGATACGATTTTTTTTTTAATATTTTTTCAGGATATATGTAAATTTAACACAAAACAAATGCTAAATACAATAAAATGCATAAATATAATTTCAATACTTTTATTTTTGGATTTATAAATATGAATAATTAAATTTATAAAATAAGAAAAAAAAACGAAGAAACAAAGACTAAGTGGACAGAAATGCTATCATTTTACTCAAAATTGGGGTTGGAAAAAAAAAAAGAAGAAAGGGTTGTAAAAGAGAATTGTTTTTAGTATATGAAAATGAAAGAAAAACAGAGGGTTGGAAAAAAAAAAAAAGTTAGGTTATTAGATCTTACCTAAGAAGCAAAAAAAATAAGAAAAACAGAGGCAGGGGCGGCGTCCGTGGCTTCGTGAAGTGGGTGGTGTGTTTTGTTTTCGTGGGTGGGTATTAGGTTTTTATCATTTATTTGTTTTTTTTTAAAATTACTCGTGGGCATTGGGCCTTTTAATTTGGGCTCAAAAAACCCACAAAATTATCATCCCGTGTCCAGGCCGTATCATGCCGGTCCGATTTAAAAAAAAAAAAAACCAGACATGAGTGTTGCGTGTCTGACACGTGTCCGTACGTATCCGTGTCGGACACTTCGCCCAAAAATGTGTGTCCGTGTTTCTTAGGATCAGCCATACAGTGAACAAGAAGTTCTACTGAAATCTTTTAGGGCATGGAGATGGAGTTTCAATATCTGTTAATGGGAAAGGAAGCCGTCGAACAAATTCTGTAAGTAAATGAGAGATGAAGCCAGAGGAACTAAACCTAAAAAGTAAAAAAAAAAACGATGGCTTTGCAAAAGTGAGTTCTTTGTTATACCCTGCTATGAACTCATGCATAGGTGGAGATTTAAAGGGCAAGTGCCAAAAAAGGCCGCTGTAAAATCACATACAATGGAGTGTGGAATAATGTAATGTGTAATTTAGTAGAAATTCAGGCTATTTGGTATAAGAGTGCAGGTTAAACTTTTAATTCTAAGTTTAATATATTTATTAGAATTTAGTTTTACAATTGAGTTCTTCATATGGTAGTGGACAGTTGTGTAGCATAAAGTTTTAAACTAAAGTTTATGATACACTTATTATCGTGTAGCTTATATATACTACTAAATTAGAAAATGAATCTTCTTATTTATGATACACGCTGTACTATTTTAAAAAACGATTTATGTTTTGATTCACAATTTAAAAACATAATACAAAATCCTTCTAAAATTAGAGGATATAATCTTCATTATGCAGCACGCCAGTGAGGAACATGTACGTGAAAGGGAAAAGCAGTAACGCCTTCACAATTTTGAAGATGTGATTCTAAAGAAAAAAACAAAAAATAAAAAGGCAAAAACCATCGAACAAGCATCCATAAAGGTGAAAGAACACACAGATAGAAAACAAATACAATCTAAAAAAAGCAAAAGATTCCACGAAATAGGCCATCCACGATTCAAATCCCACATACATGACATGGTTCACAGTCACAAAACATTTCGTGTTCTTTAAACAATAGCTCCATGAAATTAGAAAATATGATTGAGCTTACCAGATGGCAGATTTGGACCGCAAATTAGGGCTTCGAAGTTCCAAATTGGGGGTTCAAATGCAGTTGCACTTCGCAAGAGCTAGAAGGATGGGCAAAATCGAGATTCTGGGGAGATTTTGGAACAGCCGATCGACCGATGATGAAGAGTTGTCGACTGTCGAGAGATGGAGGAGAAGGTTTTGTCTAGAGGAGGTGGCGAAGAGTCAATTGAGGAATTCAAGTTTTAAAACGCTAATTTTTAATGGATGTATAAATATGAATGGCATAAGATTAACGTGTATTTTCAAAATAAATAGAGTAAAATTAACGTGTTTAAAATTTAAATTTTTACAAAAATATCCTAATTGAAATTAAATTTAAACTCAAGTATAATATAAAACAAAATTAAAATTTATGCTATATTTAATAAAAAAAATAAAAAGTTGGGCACATTTTAAAGAATACATGTTAAAATTATGTTATACAGTGTAATTTTTTCTTCACAATTTGAAGTTTGTCATCGATAACAAATATTGTTTAATACAACTTATTTAATAATCATTTCGTTGTTTCCTTATTTTTAAGTTTTAAGTTTGTATATATTATTTCTATCCATGTATTTATTTCTTTAGCTACCTATCTTTTCAAAAATATATGCCAAATTTAAAATAAATAGATCAAATAATGAGTTGTTTTTATTTTTTAAATTTGACTAATAGTTTAAATATATTTGAAACTTGACAAATATAAGAGGAATCGTGAGAAGTCGAACATGTACTTTAAAAACATAAAATAAGAAACAAAATAGTTATCACATGATACAATATAATTTTATTTTATTTTTTTAAATGGTAAGTTAGAATTTGGAATATGTAACTCTATCTGTTGTATTGTAATACTAAAAAACTAAAATTTGCTTGAGTTTACCCATTTGACTAGGTAATTTAAGTCAATTCAAGTGTAGTTCAATGAATGAGATACTTATTACGTTGAAGGTTTGCGATATTTAACTGTATATTTGTTGAACTCATTAAATAAAACCATAGAAAAAAAAAACTAATATTCAACATATAAGAGATCTATCGATTTCGACAATTTTAACAGTGAAATTATCGTACTATATGTTCACTTAAACTAAAACCAAACAAGGTCGAGTCTCCTTGATTGGATCACTTGACCCAACAAGACTAGACCACCTAATCAAACCAAAGTCCAATTAGGTTGGACCACACGATTGAGTCGACGAAGCCAGTTGAGTCGGTCCACTAGAACCAACCTAATAAGACTCCTTATATGAATAAGAGAAGATGCATGGGTGCAAGCTACGTTTGTACTATATCTTTTTGTTATTCTTAGTTGGATTTTTTTCTCATCAAAATGTGTTGGACTTAACACCACTAGATCTATGGTACATGCATGTGTTTGTCCGAACATTTAACTCATATATTCAAATCCTACATCAACAACTACGATTAAAGACTCGATTTTATACCTACGTATGTTGAACTATAATTTATTTATATACGTACATATAACGCAAACGTCTCTAAAAAAAAGAAATAATAATTTTTTTTTATATCCGTGAATGTCTAGGTCAGCTTACGCACACCTCGATTAATCTTATTGGATAATCGTCTGACCCTACTATTTGGCGTTGGAAACACATACAAATTACTAATTTCTAACCTAGGTGATGATTATGAGGTTCGGAAAAAAAAAAATTTAATAAAGAATTTTATAAAATGCATTTTGTCATCGACATGCCACCCGTTATCACCGTCAAAAAGCTATTGCACGAGCAAATATAATCTCAGAAATAAGTGATGGGATAAAGATATATATATATATAATTTTTTTTCTAAACAGGAAAAAACAAAGTCTCGTTTTTCCATTTTAAACGTCCTTTTAAAATTGGGGCTATTTTAAATAAAATTGACGATGATTATTTACTCGGAATTCTATTAAAAGAAACAGCAACCAGTATGTATATTATTTTTCTAATACAAACCAAAATAGAAGCGAAGATCTGAACTTTCGAACTCAAAACAATTTAACTATATTCATATAACTTAGATATTGAATTAACACAATGTCATTATTTTTTTTAAATAACATTCAATTTTAAAAAACTTTATACACACATATGTGTATATATATTTGAACTAACTAAATTAATAAATTCATCAAATCTCTAAATTCGAAAGTCTGATCACTTACTCACGTTTGTTGAATAAAAAAAAAAACCAACTAGCAATTCTATTAATAAACTCAATTTATGGGACCGAAAATAAACGTGTGCATATTAATTAATTT